GGCTGACAAAGGAAAAGACATTTGAAAATTGCTTCACATCTAAATTCACAGAGATTAAATATTTGGTTTCACATCAAATCACACACAGTAATATATTTGTCTACTCGTGACTATATTAAAGGAGAAATTAAATGAACAAAAATGAGTTTTTGTTCTGTTTCTTTTTAAAAAATGAACTGGTAGAAATGGCAAATAAACATATGAAAAAGTGTTCAACATCACTGGTCATTCGAGAGATGCAAATGAAAATAATGCTGAGATTCCACCTTACTCCAGAAAGAATGGCTGCTCTCATGAAATCAACCCATAAAAAATGCTGGCGGGGCTGTGGGGAAAGAGGAACACTGCTCCACTGCTGGTGGGAGTGTAGACCGGTGCAACCACTGTGGAAATCAGTATGGAGATATCTCCAAGAACTAGGACTGGAAGTCCCATTTGACCCAGCTATTCCTTTGGGATCTTCCCCAAAGAATTAAAAGAATCATGCCACAGTGATATATGTGTGCCTATGTTCATAGCAGCACAGTTTGTAATAGTTGAAACTTGGAAACAGCCCAAATGCCCATCAACTGGAGACTGGATAAAGAAAATGTGTTTTTTTTATAAAATGGAGTACTACTCAGCCATAAAAAATGAGAAGTTGGAGACATTACTAAATGGATGCATATTGAGGCGATTCTGTTAAGTGAAATAAATAGGACACACATGTAAATACTGAATAGTTTCTCTGGTGTGAGAAACTGAAAGTGTAAATAAGGACTAAAAGGTATAATAGATAATGTGAAATAGAAAAGGAGCAAAGGGGAAGGGGAAGTGGGGGGGGAAAGGAAAGAAGAGAATGGATTTAATATGAGAAAATGAAAAAATGGAAACAAAGTCTTTGTAAATAAGGATAGATGGAGGGGTTGTAGGGAGGGCAGGGGAAGAGAGAAAAAATAAGAAGCAAGAGAGTATGTAAAGGTGCATATCTCCAATGATGAATGTAATTATATTGTACACCTAAAGTGTACCAAGGATATACAAAACAAAGAAGGAGGACCTAAAATATATCATAGAGAGAAAGTTGTGATGCTACCAAATACGTTGTCAACCAAATTCATATTGGAACCACAGTTGAATTTTTTTCTGTTTTAACCAAAATAAAATTTTTTCAACAAAAAAATGAAATGGTAAAAAGAATAACAGTGAGAACAGTAAAAAGGTAGATTATTGTTTACGTATTTTGGGCTTGAAATATTTTACAAAAATACATACATCTTTAGAGACACATTGCTATGTAGAAATAAAAGAATGTGTATTCTGATTTTGTGTGGTGGAACACTCTGTAAACATCTGTTAAGTTCACTTGTTCAAGAGTTTGATTGAGTTCTTGTACTTTGTTGTTTATTTTTTGTCTCGTTGGTCTGTCTATTTATGACAGGGTGGTATTAAGGTTGCCCACTACTATTGTATTAGTGCTTATTTGATTTTTCATTTCGTTTAGTATTTGTTTTATATAGTTGAGGGCACTAATATTTGGTGTATATATCTTTATGATTGTCATTTGTTCCTCTTGGAATTTTCAGTTAGTATCCTTATTTGTCGCTCTTAATTGGTGTTGGTTTGAAATCCATTTCATCTCCAAAGAGGAGAGCTACTCCTGCTTTTTTGGGGGGATTCCTGTCTCATGGAGTGTTGTTTTCCACACTTTAACTTCCAGTCTATAAGTTTCTTGTATGCAGCATATTGTTGGACCTTGCTTCTTGACCAATTCTGCCAGTCTGTTTTTTTTTTTGATTGATGAATTGAGACCATTATAACCATTGATGGTTATAACTGAGATGTATTGACTTATCCTTGTCATGACCTTTTCATTTTGTTGGATTCTATCCCTTTCCATTTAATTTCTTGTCATACCTGATGGATTCATTTTACTGGGCTTCCTGGGGTTGTTATCCTCATTGTCTTTTCTTAGGATATTGTTTAAAATTTTTGGAGTGCTGCTTTGGTATTCATGAAGTTACTCAGAAGTTCTTTTTCACGAATTATTTTTCCATCAATTTTGAAAGATTCTTTTGCAAGATACATCAGTCTGGGTTCGAGGTTGTTTTCCTTCAGGGTGTGAAATACATCACTACAGTCTCTTCTTGCCTTGAAGGTTGTGTTGAGAAATCTGCTGTGACTCTGATGGGCTTTCCTTTGTGTGTGATTGGTTTCTTTTCTCTAAGTGCTTGTAGAATTTTATTCTTCTACTGGGTTTCTGAAATCCTATTATATGCCTAGGAGTAGAATTTTTTAAATCATGGCTAGCTGGAGTTCTATATGCCTCACTTATCTCTATGTCAAGTTCTTTTCCCCTGTTTGGGAAGTTTTCTGCCATTTCTTCTTCTATTTTTTAATTTTTTTTTATTTTATTGGTAC